ACCGGTTGCATAGTGTACCTTTAAGGAGGGCCGGCCCTCGCACGCTGACATTAGGACCGGTCCATCGGGCACAGATTACCAGTCCAAGCCTGTATGTGACTGTCTGTTATCAGCAGAGAAATAATGAAAACTCCCTCCTGCTAAAAAAACAAATTCAGCTGTAAATATGAGTGATAAATATGATGATAACTGTTCTTTGATGCCCTCTGACCTCAGTGCAGGAGGTGGGAAACAGACGGATCCTAACTAAATGATCATCTCTGTTGGATAATGTCCCCCCCCCCCATGCATGAAGCTGGTGCTGAACTGGACAGCTCCTTCAGTGACAGACTGCTGCACCTTAAATGCACCAGATAGCGTTATCACAGATCCTTCCTCCCAGCAGCTGGAAGACTCTAGAACTCCCACTGTTCCCATTAACCTCAACAATTTGTTCCATTCATGCTGATTTTTTACACAGTTTAGTCAGTTAAATAAAATGATGATGTCATTTTGCTCATCTCTGATGTTGCAGCTATTTTCAAACATCCGTTACTGTAAAAATGCCCATAGCTGCATATTGGTTATTTATTCTCCAGGTGCACAGTTTATATATTGTTAAAACACTTTACAGTACAGGATTTAATTTATTTATCTTTTATCTTCACTATTATGTTATTCTTATACATTTTTCTAAGGTCCACATTTGTTTGACCATTTTCTTCTATAATCTTTTTGCTGCTGTAAACACCAGAATTCCCCCATTGTGGGACAATGAAGTGATTATCTATTCTATTCTATTCTATTCTATTCTATTCTATTCTATTCTATTCTATTCTATTCTATAAATGTCTTAGAAAGAATAAAGTTTCTTTTAGACTCCTTGGATCTCATTGTTATTGTGAGGATTTGAAAACTGGACTGAAAAAAAATCTTGAAATTGTAAAAATTTGCCATTTGAGCATTTTTTATTTATCCTTCTTTAGTACGTGGAGAGTGATGTGGATGAAGAGCTGCTGTTCAACATACCGTAAGTCCTACCATCATCATCACCATCATCATCATCATCTGATGACTGGGTTTTTTTTCCTGTTTTCTGTGTCTATCAGCTAAATGTAGAGTTGACATTCAGACACTAAAGCAGGTGTGTCTCCAGCTGCTTTTATTCCAGTTTTTGCTCTAAATGTTTATTTAAATCTAAAGCAGCTTGAAGAATTCAAACCTTTAGTGAAAGACTTTTACACCCTGTTTGGAAAAAGGAGCGCTACAACACCAGTAATTTTTCTAATGTATAATGTGCAATTACTATTTGAATAACCTGTTTCTCTGTATTTGACAGCCAGTGCAATGACTATATATATAAATATCCATCTATATAACTACCCATGCAAACACGCTGTATAATGATCCTGCTATTAAGGAAAAAACAAATCTGTCATATGTGGACGCACTATACAGTAGCAGCCATTCAAAATGGCCCTTCCCATTTAAACGCCAGCTGAATGGCAGCGAAATCCCCTCCAACTTCCAGCCACTGCAGTGACCCTCTTGCATATTTTTTTTAGTCTGACTCAACCTTTTCACTGGATTACAGGGTCTGACCAGGATATGATGCTTCTCTTCTCTTAATGTCCACAAATCATGACAGAAAGAATATTTTAGTACAAAGATTGATGTTTAAAAAGAATTGTAGGGGAAGAGCGGGGAAATGTTGAATGGCTACTACTGTATATATTGTATATGTACCATGCACCTTTTTCTCCCTTTGGCACTTTCTTCTTCTCCTTTGATTGTTTGAGCTGATGTAACCAGTACATTTATCCATTGTGAGATCAATAAAGTGAATCAATCAATCAAAATCAGGCTGAAGCCCTGCTGGCTTTAATTTCAGTCATCGTTTTGCTGCTGAGGGCTTCTCTCTTCTCGTCTTTCAGCGTCCTTAGCGTAACGTTCTCTCATCTCTTTCAGTTTCACCGGCAGCGTGAAGCTCAAAGGCATCATCATCTCCGGGGAAAACGACGACTCTCATCCAGCAGAGATAAGGCTGTGAGTTTTGCTTCTGTTGTTTTCCTTCTCCCCGCCTCTAGGTGGCAGCAGTTGGATTCAGCTCTCTGATTGTTTGTCTGCAGGTACAAAAACATCCCTCAGATGTCGTTTGACGACACCGGCAGGGAACCAGATCAAGCCTTCAGACTCAACAGAGACCCGCTGGCTGAGCTGGAGTATCCGACCAAGTGAGAACAGATGTGGTTGTTTCTGTAGGACGGTAACAGGCAGGATGCTGCTGAAAGCAAACATTATTAAACACTTCGGTGCTTTTAATGTCCAGCTCCTTC